TTTCTCATTAAATTATTATTATTATTATTTATTTTTGAATTCAATTTTGTACAAGTAAGAAAATTATTATGATTTAGTTTGTTCACGTATGTATTTTGTATGCATTTTTTATGATTTTATGTGTTTGCTTGGTAATTGCTTTAAAATAAACTTAATTTCCTTCACACTGCTTTCACATTCCTTCTATTTTCTCAACTAACAAACATATTCTTCATGCTTTGCTATTAATATTTTTCTTAATTAACATGTAAATTTATTTTATGTTATTCTCATGCATAAATCTACTCACACGACACTTACTCACTTAGCTAATGTATGGTGACAATAAGCTTTTAAGTAAATTTAAATATCACCAAAGTGTTACTAACGAGGCTATTCACTCTCAAAAATACGTACCTCAATCAACAATATATATCAAAAAAATCTGATAGAATCCCTCGAAAGCATATTACGTCTTAGTACCAATAAAATCAATCGCAAAATTCAAAATTTTTCAAGCTACGAAGCGAGTGTAAAAGTTGTTAAAAACATAGATTATAAGTTGATACTCTCGAATGTCAAAGCTTTTAATCTAGTTGATGTTTCTTTGAAAGCTTAAACTGAATTTCATAAATTTTACAATTTTCCTATGAATTCTTTTTAAGTATTCAAATTCAGTTCAAATTTTTAATGGAGCATCGGTAAATTCACATTTGTTATTTTTATGGTTTCCTATTCACGTAAATATTTAACTTTGATACTTCGAGAGAATAAAAATTTTAATTATTTAATTTTTTTTTGTAATTGGTAGAGAAATGAGAAATGTCTAAGATGTACATAAGTTGTACAACTTGTACAAAGCTTAAGTAACATAAAAAATCTTTCCATTACTTTTGGCACAATCATTTTAAACATTTTTCACTTCATTGCCAACATAAAATTTTACATGAAAGTAATGTTAATTAGTTTAGTTGTTAGTTAAATTAGTTGTATAATTTAATGTTTATTATTTTGTCGAAATATTTTTTTTTATTAATTTCTTTTCATAATTTCTAACGCGTTTATGCTTTTATTTTTTTCTCTTCCACATTTTTTATGTTTTCATTTATGAAACAAAAAAAAATCTCAAAAAATCATGAAATTGAAAATTTTCTACAAAATTACGAAACTGCTGACTGACGCATACACTCAATGGATTCGCTTATCAAAATTGCCCTATTGGATATCATTAAATCAATAAAAAAAAAACTAAACAAAACTTTTGGAACAAACTCGTGTTGAAAAATTTTTGAATTGCAAAAAATAAACAAAAAAAAAAAACGAAACCCGATAAAACGAACAATTTAAAGGGGGTTGGTCATGGGCGTGGAATCATGGTGGGGCATGGCCAAGTCGCTGGTCACCGTGGCAACAACCGCAAAGTGGACCTCCATCAACGGGTCGGGGCTCAAGTAGCAACAACAGGGGGGCAGGTCCATCGTGGGCAAATACATCGTCCCAACGATCGTGGCATCCGCGCCAGGCCGCTAGCAAATACAACAGCAGGTGAGATACAAAACAAAACGATCTCGACGAAAGTAAAACCTCTTTTTTCTCAATTATTTTAAATTATCTTCTTAATTTTAATTTATAAGTAGATATTTTAATCTTGATTTTAAGTTCATCGCTGGGTTCTCTTACTGCTTTATTTGATAAGTTTTAAGTTTTCAATTGAAACATATTTCTTTTTTGCAATCTATGTGCATGCATTTTAATTGATGAAAGTCACATTTAAATAATCACAAAACAAATTCACAAATCACATTTTATTAAAAGTAATTTTAAAAGCAGTATGAGAGCACATCTTTGAGTTGCTGAATTCTTTTATTCACACAGATATTAAAGTGTTTCATGCTTCTCAACTTTAGTTTTAACATCGCGTTTCATTTCTTTTTTGTATTTGGTCTTTTCTAAGCTCATTCTCATTCAATAATTTATTTAAAAAAGAATATTAATTTACACAAAATATTAAAATTATAATCTTTTTGTTGTACATAGCTGGGAATGTTAAGGGAAACGACGATGAATCGATTAGTATAATGAAAATTTATTGTGTGCTAACAAAGCCAAATCCATTTGTTAAATGATAAGCGTTTGTATGTTATATTTTCTCCATTAATTACTTTTACTTCGGAAATTTTTGAAAATTGCGATTGAAGTCTTCCTAAGTTTAATTTATTTTTCCTTTAGTCGTCGAATTACCTCTCATTAACATTTATACACAAACACCATTTTCCATCCAAAAAACTGGGAAAGCTTAATTTAATATTTTTTATTATTTAATAACAAAAGCTTTAACTCATTTGATTGGCTAACATTTTTATTTCCTTCTTTCGTGCTGATGTTTATGTCACTGGACTTTCAAACAAACTTGACAAGTCAAAAGATGCAACAGCATTGTAATGAATCATTTTGGGTGATTGTTAATATTTTATTTTATTTATCTTAGACTGTTTTCTTCTTTTCATAACTACTAATCGATTCGTTTAATTCTGTTTAGTATCGAAATTTTTCGTTTCTGTTTCTCGAATTCCTTCGATAAACGACATCGGTTTGCAATGCTATGCGGTGAATTATTTATGGCACTGTTAAATTTTTATCATTATCATGAAAATATTTTGTGTACATTAAAAACCCGCTACCAGAAATCTTTTATAAACTTTAATCAAAATTTCAAACCTCTCTATATTTCTCTTTCTTTTTCTTCTATCCCACAGCCCTTTATCCAATTCGTGCTTAAAAGTTTCGTTGAAACACATTTAAGAAAAATGAAATTAAATTTTCCTTGCACTGGAAAATTTTCTCAACCTTTCTTACATTTTTTTGTGTAATTTTTTTTGGATTTAATCTTTTGTTCATTATCTTTATGAGTTATTTATTATTTTGGAAACTAATGATCGTCGCATTAACAAATATTTATTAAAAAATAAAAAAGAAGAAAAATTCAAGAAAGTTTCATCGAAGCTCAAATCAGAAAACAGAAGATTCAAATTGGATGAAAAACAAAACTAACTTTCGCTTTTTTATTGGATGAAAAATGAAAAATCAAAAAAATATTTATTGAAAAACTTAATAGGTGAAGTAATGTGAATTAAAATTTTTGATAATGAACCAAAAGATGTCAATCATAGGTTTAAGATTAATTTAGTTGATAAGAAATTTCTTAATTCAATGAAAATGTTTTCTTATTGCAACAATTTCGATCATTGAAATGAGAAAAATATTTTTAAGAAGCTTTTTAGGAATTAAGATTAAACTGATTCATGCTTTATTAATTGATTTAATTTATTTTCTCTTCTCTGCTCATCCATTGTGCCACATTTTAGCAGCAATCGGTAAACGTAAATTTGAAGGGTTGGGACAACAAGGGGATCCGAAGCGACGTTTTGGGATAGGAAATGGTGGCAGTTGGGGCAGTCAACCGTTACCACAACAGCCTTTGAATGGTGCTGAACAATGGTACACCGATACTTATCCAACGTGGAGTTAAATCAACAAACAAAAAATTTAAAAAATATATATAATTACAAAATGAAAATCGAAAATCAACAACTGACATTTATCAAGATTGACAAAAAGAAAAACATCAAGTAAACATTTAATTTTTCTTTCGATATCAAGTTGTGCATCTCTAAATTAACAGTTAGTTCAAGCGATTATTGCAATAATAAAAGCTTGTGATTGAGAAAAAACAAAAATTTGATGAAAAAAAATCTTAAAAATTGTAATGAAGCATTAATTGATGAACTGGCCTTGTCGTTAACTAATTGATGATGAGCAAGAAAACATATTAGGAATTTAAAAATGATAATGATAATGAAAAAAATGGCTTATAAAGAATTCTTTCGACTGATTTTTCTATTAATGGAAACATGAAATTATTGATCATAATTGTATCGATTAAGAAGTAGTTGAGCGTATAAAAAAATCCCAATAAATTAATCATTTCGATTTTATTGTATAAATTAATTAATTGTCTTATGTACTCAATTTAATGAGAGATGAAAAAGAAAAATAGAAATTTGATAGACAACGCTCAAAAACATTAATCCACTTATAACTAAATCAGAAGCATACATAAAAAATGAAATAGAAATCAAATCTAAACTCAATGCCATAAAGAAAATAAAGAAATTCACTTCCATTATGTTGATTTAAACTTCACTTACGCAATTTAGCGCCCGGGCAAGATTAAAGGTCGATTTTCAATAATTAGCAGACAACTAACAATCACATAATTCAGATAAATACTTTGATCACTTTCAAAAAGAATAAAATAAATTTGATGATACCACAATAGATTCAGAATTTCACATAAAATTGTGTACAGAAATGAACCCCCTCCCCCCAAAAAAATCATTAAAATTGAGCATAAAAAGTATTAAGAAGAAACAATTTTAGGAACTTAATGAATTCATTTTTCTTTCGTTTAAAGAAAAATTAAAACAAAAAAATATTGTGATTTTATAAACATTAGGAATGGGAGAATGTGAAAGTTAAAATGATTTAATCAATTTGACATTACACAAGTGATTCTCGATGGTAACAAATGCATAAAAAAAGATGTTCATTTCGTATTATTGGTAACATTAAATATCTGATAAGAGAAAAAAATTAGAATATCGTGTAAATTGTCCGCGCGGTTCCTTAGTAATTGAAACACATGATGATGACAATATCGATCGTTATGAACGAAAGATCGATTAAGAATTTAAAAATTGTATTTGTGGGTGTTTTTCTTTTCACATAAAGAAAAATGAAAAGCTTGAAGATGAAGTAATATATAACTTAGAAGCTCATTAGGAACATTAGGATAACTAATTAAACGATTTTAATTTTTTGTCACTTTCTCCTTCTCGTCCGACCTGTTTGAAAAATAATTTTCAAGGAACTAAATAAGAACATGTTACAATGTTAAAAAACGAAATGTCTGTGAAAATTGATAAGAAAATAATTGAAAATGAATTGTCACCATTTCATAACTATCTAAGAACGTTAAAATCCTATCACGATGACAAGAACGTCGCTTCCCTAAATCTTAACAAAACAATGTGAGAAAAATTATTATAATTCTTTTTTTTGTCAAATGTAGCTCTTGAAAGTTTAGAAACAAAATTGATTATGTAATTAGATGCTTTTTCTTTATTAGTTAATTATAATTGATGATGTAAAACAATTTCTTTGAAAATACTTTCAGTTAATAATTTTTTTAGTTTTTTGTCATATTAAATTTTCATTTTCTTTTCTTGTTTAATCTTTTATTATTATTTTTATAATCCAAAAAGAGAAAATTCAATTTTTGGAACCGCCATATACGAATTGGTCTGATCGACGATTTCATGAATTTTATTTATGTCAAATTTTCTTTACTTTTAATTTCATGTCAAACTGGAAGTTGATTTGTCGTGACGTGGAATCTTCTAAGACTAGAAGGTGAACTTTGACGCTTTTTTTACGACAACTCAACTTCCCACAACGCGCATACATTTATCATAAAATCATACGCAAACATTAAGACACATCAAATCTTTCATTAGTTTTTGCCTTTCCTTAAGTTTATATTTGAATTTCAATTTAAACAAGAAAAAAGTTCATTATATAAAAAT